AGTCACGCCATCATGGAACTGGAGCGATACACCCCTTGCTTTTTTGATTTCGTTGACTTCGTCAACGATGGGATATAGAAATGTGTCAAGTTTTCGTGGTTCATTAGGGCCCTTAACAAAGCCGAGTGGAATTATACTACGCAAAAGAAACCGTTGGCTTGAAGGAACATTAAGATTGAGGGCTGTTATCGCCCAAAAATCGTAACGGTTATTGGCGAAAGTCTGAAAGCCATCGCATGAAACGTGGTGCGCATGGCGCGGCGGGGAGGCGGGGCGCGCGGGGGGGGTGCGCGTGGAGGAGGGCGCGCGGCTTGCTTGGAACACGGCGTGTGTGGGGTGGCCTCTGGCAATCAGTTGCGTCCGTACGGTGCGCACGGGCGGATGGGCGTGCGGGGTCCGGGCGAGGTCGGCCCGCGCGCAGTGTTATAAACTTTGGTGAGCGCGCAAGTCAAGGGTTGCGCCCCACGGACGCCGCGACGAGGAACGACCGAGGAACGACAAAAGACAGTGCGACGCGGACAGTAGCGCGGCGGGGGGCCAATGGCCAGCCAGTGGGAAACGCGGAAAGAAACGGGTGTGCGCTCCACCGAACTAGCGAAAGGTTACAGAGGAACACCATACAGGGTATTGGCTCCCCCGGCCGCGCGGCGTGGTTACAGCACGCACCTCCCGGCGTCGCATGCCCCGACGCAGCCGCGCGAAATATCTCCCCCGCTCCCCCCGGCCCCCCCCCGCCAGAAAAACGGGCGCGCTGGAAAAGCGCGGGGCCGAAAGATGCGGTTCCGCCGTTCCACGCGTGGCGCGCGACGCAGCCTGCAGCCTGACAGTGGCATCGCGTGACCACAAGCGTCGCGTGACCGCAAGCGTCGCGTGACCGCAAGCGTCGCGTGACCGCCGCGTCAGCAGCCGGGCCGGTCGAGGGCGCGGGCGCGGGCGCGGGCGCGGGGGAAAAACAACCGAAAAAACGGGCTGGGATTCGAGCCCCGCCTGCGGCCTCGGGCGGGCCGGGCAGGATCCAACCGCGACCCGCCCCGCACGGCCGGCGCGCACCCAGTGTACGGTACAAGGGTGCTGTACAGTATTACAGTATAGTATTATCATCGATCCATCGATCTTTCGATCTTTCGATCTTTCGGTTCCGCCGCAGTGAGAGCTGGCGCCAGCCGCCAGCGGCTGCGTCGCTGCTCCCGGCGCCGGGACACGGCCCGCGCTGTGCGCGCTCCCCCCGCGCCGCGCCGCGCGCAACGGGCCCGGTCGCCGTCCGCCTCTCTCTCCCTCTGGGCTGTGCGCTTCGATCCGCCCCACGGGGCAAGCGGCGGAGGCGGTGCCATGTTCGCTGTCTGCGGCACGGGCTTGCCGCGCACGCCGTGACGCGACAAGCGTGCAACCTCTTGGTAAAGCTTTACAAGTATGCCTTTACAAGTACCCTGGTACAGTACCCAAGGGTACAGTATGCAGGTCCCCGGGCAGGGCACACAGGAGCGGGTCCGTAGGAGATGTCGTGCTGCACGAGCTTGTACAGAAGCTGCATTTCTGAATCTCCAAAAATGATCACCCATGTGACGAGACTGGGATTCGAACCAGAAATATCTAGAATGCAAAGTGCTCGTATATTTATATCTACTGTACATATTTATGTCTGAATAATTATATCTGATTAAACCAGTTTGTAAATATTAAGGAGAATAGCTCAGAAGAGGCACAATTGCTAAAGGCACTCACACTCCACTTGATAAACCTGTTTTTTTTGAAAATATATATTCTCAAGTACATGTAGCACAGCGATTTTACAGTGCATCTCAATATCATTTTTTGCTTACATTTTTGCTTACATTTTTTGCTCACAACCCTCTGCTATACAGTATGATTCCATGAACACCGATGGCCCTCTCTCCCCTGCGGGGAGGGCGCCCGGCGGTGACTTTATGTGCTGAGTTGTAGTGCCCTATGTGGCTGTGCCTTATCTACTGTGCTGACCTATCTGGATGGTACTACAGTGTCTGATGTTCGTGCACGTTGTCTGAGCGTCTGTGTGTTGGTTCTGGATGCAACCACACTCCCCCTGACGCGAGGGCAGGGTGCGCGGACGGTGATGTTGTCCTTGTGCATGCGGTAGATCGTCGCTTTCAGCGGTTTCGTAAAGATGTCTGCGTATTGTTCCTTGGAGGGTATTCGCAGGATCTTGAGGTGGCCTTGTTGTACGGTGTCGTGTAGAAAATGGTACCGTACGTCTATGAATTTTCTCCGCTTTGTGGCGCCCATGCTTTTTGCTATTTGGGCAGCTTCTGTGTTATTTATGTGCAGCGTGGGCGTGTTTGTGGGGAGCTTGATCTCGTCGAGGAGGTTGTATAGCCAAAGCGTTTGCGTTGTGGCTTCGGCTGCCGAGATGTATTCGGCTTCACAAGTGCTCTTGGCCGCCACTGGCTGTTGCTTAGCCAGCCACTGGACCGGTGCTCCATTGACGAAGGCCATTCCACTGATCGACTTGCGGCCGGTCTTGTCGTTGGCATAATCTGCGTCGGAAAATGCTCGGATGTGGACGCTCTTCTTGCTCCCTTTGAGCATGAGGATGCCTTCTTCAAGGGTGCTGTGGAGATATTGTGCGGTTCTTTGCAGGAGGTTCCAATGGCATTGAGTGGGTTTTTTGAGCGCCGTGGCCAGTGTCGCCGCTGCAAATACGACGTCCGGTCTTGCGCTATCGGCAATGTACCGGCTTTCCCCTACGGCCTTGCCGTATATGGTGACGATGTCGGACCGTTCTGCTTCGTCTTCCCCGGGCGGTTCCGTGCTGACTCCGTCGAGGTAGGGTGTTTTTTGCGGTTGCACCCGGTCTGTGACAGCACCTCCACTACACTGTCTATGTGTGCAGGTTGGGATATGTGTATCCCTCTGCTGGTGTGCTTGATTTTCCAGATGAGATATTTTCTGGCCTGCCTAACCTCTTGACGCTGTAATTTTTCTGCAGGGTGGCGTACAGTTCGTCGATGGGTTTTTTGCTTGTGGAGATCGGGAGAAAATCGTCCATGCTGATGCCTACAAAAAGTCTGTCTTCACCGTCTCGTTTGGTGAAGAGTGACGTATCGGACCTCATCTGCCTGTATCCGTGTTTCTTGAGATGGGCGTGCAGTCGGGTGCTGTACGTGTGCGCGGCTGCTGGTGTGCCATAGACGTTCCCTTTCAGTTGGCCATGTGTGCCCACGTGTTTGTATTCTCCGTTGAATCTCTGCGGTTGCCATACATATACTTTTTTGTATGTTGGTAATTCTCATGGAGGTAGGCTCCGGTGATGTCAAAGTGTTCGATCACCATGTTCATTGATGAAGCGAGTGCAAAAAGTGTGCGTACAGTGGCTCTGTCGGCCATATAGGTGGCGGTCTTTTCGGGGTCATAGTTGACGTGTGGTGTCATTCTGCCACCCCTTATCGAGCAACGCGCCGTGTGCTGCGTTTGGTTTTCGTCTCGCTTGTATCTGTACGTCATGGTTGTTGGTAGGATTTGTTTTCGATTGCCGTCAGTTTTTTGGGACGTCCAATCGATGGCCTTCATTGCGTCGAGCTGGTCCAGTTCCGCATCGTGTGCTTGTCCCCATTTTTTGCGTCTAGGTAACGTCGTGCCTGGCTGAGTGTTTTCGGCGGCGGTGTGGTGCTGTGGACTGCGGTTGGGATGCGAGTGATTTTTCGTTTCCTCTTCGCTTTGGTCTGCGTGTTTTTGACCTTCTTTGGGCCGCGGCGTATTTTTCTTTGCCGCTTAGGTGTTGTCTTTGTGCGTTTGTTCGCCTTGGGAGTTGCCTCTGTTTTTCTTTGGCTCCTCCTTGTTTCTGTGGTGTGGAACACTGCGTTGACCGAGTGGCATGGGTCCTACTGTTTGTAGTACGGCTTGAGGTCGACTGAGCGAATTTTCTGGTATTGCCTTGTGGCAATGTTTTGGATGCAGACGTGAGTGTGGTCCAGGTCGTACATGTATCTGACGGGAGTGGCCCGTGTGTCGAGTTTGGGTCGGTTTGGTTTTAGTATGGGTACGTAACCAATTTGCCCAAAGGTGAACAGTTTCCTGATTTGTGGTGGTTCACCGTACCACGCTGTGCGTGGGATTCCCTTGAGTACGTGATGATACGTGAGGTTATATTTAAATACTGCATCCTCAAGTGCGTCTTGCCAGTGCGTGTCATCCAGCTGGCTGTGCTGTAGCGTCGCTCTTACCTTATCCATGAGTGTTCTATTGATCCTTTCGGCCATGGCATTCTCCTGTGGGGTATATGGCGTTGTCGGTCTGAACTCTATTCCTCGTTGTCGGAGTTTCTCTTGGAGGGCTTTTGCAATGTACTCCTTTGCATTGTCCGTCACTAGCAGTCGCGGGTAGTTTCTGTGCTGTGATGCTATGTGGTCGACGGCTTCTATCACTGTGCTGGGTATTTGGGCTCTGTTTGGG